TAAAGAAATAAACTTAAAAAAAAAAAAAACAGGAGTTAAGGTTTTTCTAGATTTTCAGGATTCAGCCAGAAGTCTGGTAAGGACCTCGGTTCCTTCTGGAGAAAACTACATTGTGCACATCCCATAAAGCTGCATCTGTGCACTGGTAGCCCATTTTATGCAGGAAGCATGTTCTTGAAAACCTGAGTACAAATGAAAATTTTATTAGTTAAGATTTATTTCTACCTTGCCTGGTATTACTGTTTCATCATTGCTTCTTTGCACATTTCTGATTGACCTTTGAGATTTGACCTTGAGATGGGCCCTTAAAGAACTATGCTTCTAATTCTTCATGTACAGACCTATAACCAAATGCTCAAATGATCAACGTACATATTTAGACAAAATGCGAAGAGTTCTTTTGTTGGGCAGAATCGTTAAGCACATTATGTCTCTGTAATGTGAACGGTCCTCATCTGTTATGTAGTTCTCATTACTTTAATTACTTAACCTGATTTTTAAAAGAATTTATACCTACCCTTCTGCCAAGAAGGACTTATAGCAGTTGTTAGGTTGACCTCTTTAAATACCAGTTGGGCCTATGTATGTTTTTATGGGATGTAGAAGGGGTTGTTTTATTCTGTTTTAAAAGGGCACAGGTTAAATGCACCCAATGATGGAATTTTGTTTCAGATGCGTCTGTTAAGTGATGTAAAAGGCCCTGTGCTTTTATGCACATGACAAGAATTTTGATTATTGAATTTCAATCATTATTTGGTCTCTCATACGAAATGTAATGCATGAAGCTGACAGCATTCACACTCTTCCTTGGCTTTTACTTTAAAAAGCAATAACAGCTCATGTATGCAGGGTCATGAGTCTGTCATGAAAAAGGGTGTATTTGCGTGCTAAGGTCACAGGACCTGGGAATCTTGAAAGCCTTGCCTGGAATGGTACTCAGTACATTGCTGAGGAAATCAGTGTCCTGCCCCCCTCGCATTCCTTCCTGGAGTACTCTGTTCTCCGTCCAAGATCCGATGAATGATCATTCCTTTTATTAACATGATTTGATTTTTTTCATCAGCTAGTGGGATAGTATACCAGCAGCAACAGTTTAAGAACTTTTATGATAAGCATTCATATAGATTTTTGAAATGATAATTAACTCTGTTATGTGTAATTAAGGAAGGGGAAGAGGTAGGCCGATAACCTTTTTGGTTTCTTAATTTCGAAGAAGAAAGTCCATTCTTGCATTTTTTTAAAATTTTTTTAATGTTTTTATTTATTTTTGAGACAGAGAGAGACAGATTATGAACAGGGGAGGGGCAGAGAAAGAGAGGGGGACACAGAATCTGAAGCAGGCTCCAGGCTCTGAGCCGTCAGCACAGAGCCCAACGTGGGGCTCGAACTCACGGACTGTGAGATCATGACCTGAGCCGAAGTCGGACACTTAACCGACTGAGCCACCCAGGCGCCCCCATTCTTGCATTTTAATATGAGACTCTTTGATGTCCTAGAAGTTGATAACTCCCGAAATTCATATGTGAGTCGGGAGGAATTAGAAAGCTTGAGTTTCCCGTCCCTACCCAGAAAGTGTGTATGCAGAGGGGGAATAATATAACAGAGAATTTGAAAACAGTGCTGCTCAGAATTGACGTCTGGATAGGTAAATGTTGACTCGACTCATTTTTACTTCTGAAAGAAAGGGTATTCTTAAAGGTTTCTCACTTTCTGTTGTGCCTAAAATCAGAAGACTTGGGTTCCCTCTTGGTGTATAGACTTTGTCTGGATAAGATCTGTGAGATGAGGGATTTATGGCAGTTATCTGGAGTTTCTGAGGACCAACACCACCTTACCATATTGTGACACATTTTGGTAAGAAGTGATGTGAGTTGTTACGTGAAGCCATTGTACTTTGTTTTCTGAAAGATAGAAAACGATGGAGTCAGTAATATTTTTTGTTGAATCTGTAGAAAGCTCTCTTCTCTTGTGCCCATTGGCTTATTCAGCTGAAATGTACCAGGAACTTGAGGTCTGCTGCTGCATGATATGTGTTACTATTTAAAATTATTTTGGAAGCCCTTGGGTGGCTCAGTTGATTAAGCGTCCGACTCATGGTTTCGGCTCAGGTCATGGTCTCGGCTCAGGTCATGGTCTCACGGTTTGTGATATCAAGACGGGCATCGGGCTCTGTGCTGACGGTGTGGAGCCTGCTTGGGACTGTCTCTCTCCCCCCTCTCTCTGCTCCTACCCCATTCTCATGCTCTCTCTCTCTCCAAATAAATAAACTTCAATAAATAAATAAGTAGATTGGGGCGCCTGGGTGGCGCAGTCGGTTAAGCGTCCGACTTCAGCCAGGTCACGATCTCGCTGTCCGTGAGTTCGAGCCCCGCGTCAGGCTCTGGGCTGATGGCTCAGAGCCTGGAGCCTGTTTCCGATTCTGTGTCTCCCTCTCTCTCTGCTCCTCCCCCGTTCATGCTCTGTCTCTCTCTGTCCCAAAAATAAATAAACGTTGAAAAAAATAAATAAATAAATAAATAAATAAATAAATAAGTAGATTATTTTTTGTTGTATTATTATTTGAAACTCTGTTCTGGGCCCTTATGTTACAACTCTCTATTGTTCCCTTTGGAGTTACAAGGAGAGAAACCAGAGAAAGTCCCTTGAGGATGGCAGAAAACAAAGGGCAAATATCATTGTTTGTATCTAACCCATGTCAGACTCTTTGTTGTGAACCTTGAGTGGATTACCCCACTGGTACCCACTTTAATAACCTATAACGGGATATCTGCGTCGACTTTATCTGCACGCACGTCTTTACGAGACACGCTGCAAACTGCAAGGGAAAAGAGACCACAGACCTTTTCTCGTCCAAGAGCAAGTGGAAAGAGTTTATGGGAAGGAGTCCCTTCACCATGCGCAACTGCGCCTCGCACTTCTCTCTTTAATAAGGCAAATGCTTTTCTCTTAACAGAGGAATTCAAGGGCTCCACCGTGGTTGAGCTGATGAAGAAGGAAGGCACTACCCTCGGGCTGACGGTATCGGGCGGAATTGACAAGGATGGCAAGCCACGCGTGTCTAACCTGCGGCAAGGGGGAATTGCTGCCAGGTAACTCCCTCTCGGGGAAACGTGGGAAAGGGAACACAGGGTGTGACTAATCCAAAAACCGAAGCTCCATCAGAAACGGTCACTAATAAATAAATGACAGCTGCCATCTGCCGGGCAGAAGCACACCCGGGCGTGTTTGTAGAAGCTTTTCTGGCCCGTGCCAAGTCACCGGGGAGCCGCCTGGCCCTCATAAGACTTTAATTTTAAAACGACTTTGTGGCTCCAGTCCCCAACTATGCCGCTGGACAGCAGACGGGCTGTAGTGGGACTGATGCACTCCGATCATGTAAATGGAGCAGATGGCCCGTATCATGCATATGCAGGGAGCGCCCGTGCAGGGATGTGGTAAGCCTACAGGAGTAGGGAAACCCAGCTCCGAGTTTCTAAGTGACGATTTCGCTTGTCTCCCATCTTCTCTGCTTTTCTACTTGTGACATTTCCCTTTTCATCAAGACAAAGATGAGGTTTCCAAAAGGATAGGAAGCTTAGATGGGGAGGTGTCGTTCTGTCCTCGTGCGATGGGCTGCAGACTGCACTCGCTCTTGCCAAAGGCAGAATGTCCTGCGTGCTGGGTCCAGGCGGGCTTGCCTTATAGACAGATTCAAAATTTACTTCAGATGCGATGGTTAGGTTTCGTTAAAAGTGAGGTTAATGTATCTTAAGTCCCGGACACCAATAGTCTTGTCCACGTAATCGCAAAAATAGTTTGGGCCTTCTTAACCTTACAAAGGATCATCAAAAATAGTGATTACTTTTGGTGATCAACCCATCTGTACAATGTATAAGCTTAAGCCAATTGACTGCTTCATAATCTGAAGTACTGTTTATGAAATAGGCTGATGTCAACACAGGCACCGTCATCTCCTTTTTTCACGAGGGAAGAGATTTCTTTCCACACCGACAGCTTCCTTTATTTTATAACAGTCATGGCCAATCTCCGATGCTAGGGTCTCATATGTCTCCAGAATTTTTTCATAGGTAGGCCCTGTAGCACGGGTAAATAGGGCGAAGATCTTCAGTCGTACTGATGCTATAATTAAAAGTATTGTTGGGGCGCCTGGGTGGTTCAGTCGGTTAAGCGGCCGACGTCGGCTCAGGTCATGATCTCATGGTCCGTGAGTTCGAGCCCCGCGTCGGGCTCTGTGCTGACAGCTCAGAGCCTGGAGCCTGTTTCAGATTCTGTGTCTCCCTCTCTCTCTGACCCTCCCCCGTTCATGCTCTGTCTCTCTCTGTCTCAAAAACAAATAAACGTTAAAAAAATTTTTTAAAGTATTGTTGGCATTGTCAACTGTGGAGACTGCCCCATGTCCACCGATGGATGAATGGATAAAGAAGATGTGGTATATATCACAATGCAATGGAGTATTACTTGGCCATCAAAAAGAAGGAAATCTTTCCAATTGCAATGATGTGGATGGAGTGAGAGTGCATTATGCTGAGCAAAATAAGTTAGTCAGAGAAAGACAAATACCATATGATTTCATTCATATGTGGACCTTAAGAAAGAAAACAGATGAACATATGGGAAGGGGCGGTGGGAGGAGAGAAGAGAGAGAAACAAACCACACGAGACCCTTAATGGTAGAGAACAAACTGAGGGTTGATGGAGGGAGGTGTCTGGGGGATGGGCTAGATGGGGGATGGGCATTAAGGAGGGCACTTGTGATGAGCACTGGGCGTTGTATGTAAGTGATGAATCACTGAATTCTACTCCTGAAACCAGTGTTGCACTGTCTGCTAACTAACTGGAATTCAAATAAAATTTGGAGAAATAAAAAAAAAAAGTAACGCTGTGCTGGTTATATTATCAATGACCAAATTAGTCATTGTTTAAGGCACTACCATTTTATAAGTAGTAAAGGAAAATAATTAAAGATAAGAACTCTGCCCTAAGGGGGCTGATAATTTACTAGAGAAGATGGGTATGAACAACATGAAAAGTTTGGGAACAATAACAGCATTGCCACAACGTGAGCATCATCACAGAGCATTGGGTGGTTACGTTGCCCAGTGAGTTAGTGAACCCGAGGGAGGAAGGACAGCATGGACCGCAGGCTGGCACAGATGAGGAAAGCTTGCGAAAGAGGAATGATTCAGGCCGGACTTAGGTAAAATAAATGCATACATGTTTCTGTTTGGGGAGAAGGTATTATTGAAGGTCCTTATCCGCGACGCGAATTTTAAGTACTGTCTTTGGTCTCATTGCTTGCTCTTGCCTTAGAAGTAAAGTCTGCCTAAACCCCCAAAGTAGCCATAGTTCTTCTATGGTGTTGAAGAGAGGCGAGAATGGTACTGAAACCCAATGCTTTCATTGTAATTTGTTCTTTTTTTATCAGCCCTGCTGTAAGCATTCAATAGCAGAACAAGCGGGCCCTCTCCTTAGCCCTCAACAAACTCCCAGTGCAGATACTGAGAGCTAGGAAATGTCCAGGAGGCAGGCAGCAAAAATGAGAGAGAATGAAAGGAAAGAAAAAGTCTGGGCATGCCAAGATCTGGATCATCTGTTTCTAGAGAACCAAACTCTTTATGGACAGAGCAACCAAAAAAAAAAAAAAAAAAAAAAAACCACAACAACAACAAAACAAAACAAAAAACCCAAAACCTCTTTATTTTATTTCACGTGCTCTTTAAAAACAAAAGAGGGAAAGGGTTAGGGAAAAAAATGAGAGACCGTAGCAGATCCAATAGAGGGATATTTCAAAGTATCCCTCCGTATCCTAGGAGGCAGGGGCTCCTGCCAGGCAGGCCTCCCGGGCTTACGTGCATTTGCAGGAAGGGAAAGTGGAAAACCGGGGCAGGCCTGGGGAGAGGACGGGTCCACTGAAGCCACCTTGCCTATTTTGCAGAAGCGATCAGCTGGATGTGGGTGACTACATCAAAGCAGTGAATGGGATCAACCTGGCCAAGTTCCGCCATGATGAGATCATCAGCTTGCTGAAGAACGTTGGGGAAAGAGTGGTTCTTGAAGTCGAGTATGAGCTGCCGCCAGTCTGTAAGTAATCACAATTCAGGGGCGGGACAGCTACGCCACCCCTTTGCCTAAAACAATTCGTTCTCCATGTTTTCCCTTTTGGCATCGTTGTCTCATTACAGGAGTGATAGAACACCGTTTCTGGATATTTAGAAATTATTTAAATTGATACACCTATAGCCCACTCCAGAAGAATCAAAAAGAGCTCAGAAAACAATAAAATTATACAGGACTCGTGTTCCATTAAGGTCATCTGTGTATTATCACTCTTTGTAAGGTCTGCACATTAAGTTCGATCCAAGCTCTCCACAGAGGGACTAGGGTTAGGAAAAGCATGTGTAGTGTGTTCTGTGTTGATTCTTGTATAGTTATGTTAATTTCTGAAGCATGAAAATTGATTCAAAGCACATTCTTACCAAGTAAAAATAATAGTAATGTAACAAGAGTAGCCAACACATTTCCAGAGCTTACTAAAGGTCCGGCTTTATAAGGAACCTGACCTGCACGGATACGCTTCATTCTCACCATAAGGAGTGTCAGCCTAGCAGAGCTGGACTTGGATGTCAAATAGCCAGGTTCAGATCCCAGCTTCACCTTTAACTGCGTGCCCTTGAGGAAGTTGCTCAAGCTTTCTGTGTCTCAGTTTCCACATCTGGGAAATGGGCGTAATGTTAGTTCCTGCTCATATAGCTGCTGTGAGGATTAAATGAGTTAGTATTTGTAAAGCAGTTAGAACAGTAGCTGGCACTATAAAAATTTTTGATAAATAATGTATACATTAGCACTATAAGAGAGGCATTATTAACATTAAATTTCTCATTTACAGAGGCTTGAGTAAAGTATCTTTCCCAAATAAATAGGCAGCAGAATCAGTATGTGAAGCCAGGCTCCCTGACTCCAAAGTCCATATGCTTATTCGTTGTGACATATACTTATGCTGTGTGTTACTGCGGACCTGCATTTAAGCCATGCTCTGCTAACACCACATCTCCTATTATTAAGCTGTCAACGTAGATGCCAGCCTGACAAAGCCCTTTGCTTTTCTATGCCAGTGAGAACTCAGACTGAATATTAATCATTGATAATAACTCATTTGTTCAGCAATGACTTATTGAGCATTTGTTACATTGTGGCCGCCTCGTTGTATACTGGTGGAGTTTACATTTAGACAAGGGAAGACGGATAACAAAACAAGACCCCAGTAGATAAGTAAACTGGACAGCATGAATGCTAGGGGTCATGAATGCTAGGAGAAAAAAGAAAGAGCCAGGAGAGGGATTGGGAAGGTGGGGAGAGGTGTGGGATTGCAGTTTGAAATCGGGTGGCTCGGAAAAGCCTCACTGAGGCTGTGTCGGTGACCTGAAGGCAGTGAGAAAGTTGGTCGTGTGGATTTCTGGGGAAAGAGAACTGCAGAGAGAACAGCCAGTGCTAAGATCGAAGGCAGGAATACACTGGGGTTGTTGGAGAGACGTTAAGAAGGGTAATTTGGCAGGAGCAGAGTGAGCGTGAAGAGAAGTAGAAAAGGAGGTCAAAAATGTAACGGATGAGGTATATTTGGAGGCCGTTGGAAGGACCTTAAGTTTGGCTCTGGATGATAGAGGATGGCATTGTATGAGTTGGGGCAGGAGGCACAGGGTCTAATTCCTGTTTTCAAAGCCTCCCTCAGGCTGTTGTGTTGAGAACAGACTGCAGTGGCTAGGGTGGAAGCTGGGAGACCAGCTGGGGGGCTGTTGTCGTGATCCAGCTGAGAGACTGTGGTGAGGATGGAGAAAAGCAGTTACCTTCTTGATCTATTTGAGGGTAGAGCCATCAGGACCTCCTGACAGATTGGATGTGGGTTGTACAGAAATAAAGGAGTCAAAGGCCCCCTGAGATTTTGGGCCTGAGCAACCGGACAGGCAGGGTTGCCATTCATGGGGTTGGGCAAGAATGGGGGCAGGGCTGATTTGCGAGGGGGCCATCAGAAGACGTTCATTGTTTGAAATGCTACAGTGGACATGTCTCTTTGATGTGCAGAGAAGAAATGTCAAGAAAAGCACTAGAGATGGGGTTAGGAGTTTGGGAGAAAGATCTGGGCTGGAAATGTACATTTAGAGTAATGGGAATATAGAGGGTGTTTGAAGCTTTGGGACCAAACGTGAGCACTCAGGGAGTGAGTGTATATGACCAGTCGTGAGTTCTTATTCTGAACATAAAATCCAACACCAAAAATATAATGGTGTTTTTATAACAGAATCAATTGAGGTCTGTGTTCAAAAACCTCCCTGTAACATTTTTCATTTTCAGCAAGAGTGGATAGTAAAATCGAGCGCTGAGAGCTTGGACTGTGTCACTAGTTAAATATCAGTTTCTCCCCCTGTCCAGCTGTGTGACCTTGGGCATGTTATTTAAGTTCTCTGAGCCTTAGGTTTCTCATCTGTAAAATGGCTATAATAGATGTAGAATTTTTGTCAGAATTCAAGGCTATAATCATGTGAAATATTTGGATTATCGTCATGTACTCAGTAAGATATAGTGCCTGTTAGTCATTATTACATTATTATTATTCCACTGAAAGTACTGTGTTTTCTTTTACTTTAAAGGAGTCCATTTGTTTTGAAATCACTATCTCAAAGCATCGCCAAGGAGTTAAGAGAATCCAGATATCTAGACCTAATGCTCTTGGATTAACCATTTTGATTCCACTGGGGAAATAAATATCAACAAAACACACCCTCTTTCTAAAACAAACTCTTAGTACAGCTTTCCAGGGGTAAGGCCAGTAGTGGAGATTTGCCAAATTATGTGTGAACTACAGCGAGGAGTTTGAGAAGCTTTGAAGGAGGTTATGCAGATCCAGTAAGAAGAGAAACATTTTGGGCAGAGGGGAGAGCAAGGAAGGAAGAACTTAGCCCAGTGCACAGGTTTGAACCACAAACGGACTCTTGTTGTTGAGGCACAAAGGGAAAGAGAGGACCTGGAGGGAGATAAGGCCAGTGAGGTGGACAGGAACAAAATGATGGAAGCCCCACTGGTGGAGCCTGGATAAATCAGGTGGGCAGCAAGAAGCCTTTAAAGGCTTTTAAAGCCAACGAACATCATCAACAGATTTGAGTTTTTAGAGTTCTCATTTTAGGAAGCCAAATGGAGAATAGATAAGAGGCTATCAGCCTGAAGGCTGTTACAGTTTTCCAAAAGAGAGGTGACATCCTGAACAAATATAGCATTAGTAAGGTTAAAGAGTAGAGTAGATATCAGACATATACAGGAGTTAAAACCTATCATGACTTGGTGATTATACCACCTTTTCCTTCCTCGTGCATTAAAGCTGATGAGGAAGAGGAAAAATACTTTTTAAAACAAAAGTGTGAATTCGATGGTAGAAATCAGATAGAAGAGATCTATTCTCCAAGGATTATCTCTGTCTCTATTATGTTTGGGTAAATTAATAAGATCTTTGAGTTCAGGGAGGGATTAATAAACATCCCCTTCACTGAGCTCAGACTGCTAGAGCTGGACCAAGCCGCTGCAGTGAGGCCCTAGGGAGAGAGCAGATTGCTGAAAAATAAGCTGCCCAAGGCCAAGGCCGAGACAGGTAACTCTCAAGAATCACATAATTTGAGGCTCAGCCACCCCCAGAGTCCAGAAAGAAGTGGAGGAAGGATATTTGTTGCATGTCTGTGTGTATGTGATCTGATAGAGAAGGAATGGAATTCTGACCTTGCTCAAACCACTTACCTTTTGTAAGACTCAGATTCTTTATGAAAATGGAGTGGTTGATCTACATGAGCTCTAAAGTTCTTTTTGACTTTAGAATTACATTGTAGTTTTGAGACTGTATTTAGAGGGAATATTTCCAAACTGTATCTTAGATATTTATGTATTAAAAGTTGGTCTATGGGTACCTGGGTGGCTCAGTTAGTTGAGTGTCCAGCTCTTGGTTTGGGCTCAGGTCATGATCCCGGGGTCATGGGATCGAGCCCCATGTCAAGTTCTTCACTGAGTGTGGAGTCTGCTGGGGATTCTCTCTCTCTGTCTCTCTCCCCTGCTTGCTCTCTCTCTCTAAAATTAAAAATTAAAAGTTGGTCTAGAGCAATGCCTTCATGTTTTGTGGTGACATAATCCCTAAAGAATTTTGAAACCATAATCCTCATTTATTTTTTAGTAAGCCACCTAACATTCTTTATTATAAGCTTAAATCATTGGAAAGGATATAATTTCTGGCATGCTGTTCATTTTATATACCTTTAAGTGAAGTTTCCATTCAGACCTTAGAGCTACGTATTTGCCTCATTTGTTTTATGGAAAATGTCTGCTACAGAATCTGATTGGCAAAGGCAATCCTCACTGTTAAACCGTCGGCTAAATCAGATTAGCTTTCTATCAGACGGAGTTCTTTAATTCAAAAAGATGTGTTAAAGTGTGTCTCTGTGATTGCCTCTTACTTCTCAATTCCAATTCTAAGAGAGATAGGTGACAGATGATGATGATGATGATGATGATGATGATGATGATGATGATGGCGGCAATGGGGGGCGGGGGGAGCAGTCTCAGGTCTCCTCCACGTAGTTCCTTCCAGGATTCAGTCTGACGGAGCAGAAGCCACCCAGAGAAAGCTCTTCCTGTGGCCATAGCAGAGGAAAAGCAGGATAGTCCCAACTACCCGAGCACATTTCCAACCAAGTGCTTATTACATCTCTTAACATCCCATTGGCCAAAGCGAGTCACATGGGGAAGCCCGACATATTGAGGAGGGAAAGTATACAACCCTTATCATGCTATTGAGGTAGGAGTTGAGGAGTCAGGGAAATAGTATATCATGTAGAAAAATCTAATCTGCCATAGCAAAATAATATGGATGGCAGTACATGCATATTCACATATAGAAACAAGGGACAGCAGCACCACTAAAATGCTGAGGAGAAGTATTTTTGCTTTGCAATATTCATTTCAACTTAACCCTTCTGTGTACTGCATTTGATTCTCTGGGGAAGCTCCTTATGTGGATCCATTATGTCCACATACACAAATGTGAAGTAATGAATAAAATGCACGTGGCAATAGCAGGGGTCCTGCTATTGGATATGAAAACCCAGTCACCAAGATCCAGTCATCCAAATGAAAATTATGAAGACCAAATCTATTTCATTAAGTATCAAAATGTAGTTAACATTCACATTTATTTTTGTGAAGGATAAACAGCAAGAGTGTGGATAATCCAAAGCTGTAGATAATCCTAAAAGTCTTTGTATTGACTCTAGATTGGAATGTAGGAGTTTGTGGTCAACAAGATTGAGCTCAAACAAAATTCAAACTACGGTGAACTATGGTGCCTTTTTTAAAAAATATTTTTGAGGTTTATTTATTTATTTTGATTGAGAGAGAGAGAGAGAGCAGAAGAGGGGCACAGAGAGAGGGAGACGAGAATCCCAAGCAGGCATCATGCTGTCGGCACAGGGCCCGATGTGGGGCTCAGATTCACCAACGGTAAGATCCATGACCTGAGCTGAAGTCGGACGCTTCACCGACTGAGCCACCAAACTACAGTGCCTTTCGTTCCCAGAACAGACACCCGGCTGACAAGGACAGGTGGCCCCGAATTAGAATTTGGTTGTATAGAATTAAAAGCTGATTTAATGTTTAAATGAAATAGTATTTGTAAACCACTTTGCAGATTTCCTGGCACACAGTGGACGCTCATTAATTCTTTCTCCCTGTATCTTTTCCTTTCCTTTCTATTTGTTTCATTAGAACAAAAAGATCGTGTTCTCAACCAATTACCTCAAGTGGCTTGTTTGTCATGAAAATAAGAAAACGTTTGATTTGAACTCAGTTTCTTTCATTTAATTAAAACTGTACCTCAACACTTTCAGCTATTTGTGTACCGTTCCTAGCTGATTAAAATGAACTGAAATTCCCTTGCTAGCAAGAATATGACATTTAATTAAATCAGCAGTATACCAAAGCATTTGTTCAGCTGTAGGGTTATGTTGTTTTTCAGCAGATCCAAGTTCGTGACGTACTTTATATCCCAGCCAGATGTGCGCAGTTTTGTGAATTTATCTGTGTGCTTTTCATAATCATGTCTATTCCTTTGAGGATTCAGAATTTCTGATAATTAAAAATAATTGTAATCAATGCTAAATTAAAATTACTTCCTATTTCTGTAAATGGCAAGAAATGTTCTTTTAATAGATGCAATTAAATTCTATCTTTAGAATCTATACCTATATTCCATCATATATTTCTTATTGATAAATGTTTCATGCAATAAAGTTTTCAAAATCTAATCGCAATGTTAAAAATATGCCATTGATAAGGACCACAGCATAAAGTAATTAGATATCATTGTACAAATTCACTTAAGGATCTAAGACCATCAGATTCTATACTTGCAAATTCTTTTCTCTCTCCGAATAAAAACATCCCTGTATCCATAATGATGAGATATTAATTTGTGGAAATTTGGTTGTTGTTGTTGTTTTTTAATTCAGCAATAGTGTACTATCTAAGCAGAATTACCCACCACTTTCCTGGAAACAGTCTCACAGAAGAGTTTAGTTACTATACCTTCATACAACCTACACCCCGTATTACACACGTATACTGTATGTGATATTAATTAGAGATATCAACTTGGCCATGCAGTTTTATTTTGTGAAGTAAGAGCCGTAAGCAGGCAAACATAACATAAGCATGATAGTATCAAATGAAATCAAGTAAATATTTTATTAGACAGCAGTAACATTTTGAATGTTGTACAGAAATATTTTTGCCCTCCAGGTGTGATTTGGGTTGCTGATGTCTTTGTTAGTTGCTGTGCATCATGTCAGAAAACCTGTCTTCATCGCCTAATCTATTAGTGGTAATTTGAGAGTAATACTTTTTCTTCCTGCATTTCCTCTAAAAATAAATGTAAATACATTAATTATTTCAAGGTTTACAAAAATCATATTGCTTTTGCATTTCACAAAGGGAAAATAATTCTATTGATTACATAAAGAGTATCTCTCCTGGTATATAGAGTTTTAACGATGTGAATATTACACTCTAGCTAGAAGCTGGCTCCATAAGAAGAAAGGAAGTGCCTATGATTTTGATTCCACTCGGGTCTAAGCCTAAGTCCCTAATGCAGACAACTATTTTATGGTATTTGTATGTATTTTTTTAACATTTTCTTTGAAAAGCAGTTATCGCCCTTGTATTTTTCATAACAAGAATTATTTGCAAGGGGGATCTGTAGTGTTTTATGCCACATTAAAAAAAACTGGAGGGGCGCCTGGGTGGCTCAGTCGGTTAAGCGTCCGACTTCGGCTCAGGTCACGATCTCGCGGTCCGTGAGTTCGAGCCCCGCGTCAGGCTCTGGGCTGATGGCTCAGAGCCTGGAGCCTGCTTCCGATTCGTGTCTCCCTCTCTCTCTGCCCCTCCCCCGTTCATGCTCTGTCTCTCTCTGTCCCAAAAATAAATAAACTTTAAAAAAAAAAAAAAAAACAGGAAATGATGTTATGATTTAATATATTTCTCTCTCTCTTTCCTGCATTCAGCTGTTCAAGGATCGAGTGTTATTTTCCGAACGGTGGAGGTCACATTACATAAAGAAGGCAATACCTTTGGTTTTGTAATCCGAGGTAGGTGATGGCTAGAAAACATGAATCATCAGATATTCTTAGAGAATTTGTCAATGAAATATTGGGAGTGAACTAGAAAGTCATCCTGAAAACAACAGCAACAACAGATGATCCCAATGCATAAAGTCCCCTTATAATATTTGCACCCATTCTTTTAAAAAATAAAGCAATGAGTAGGAATCAAAGTGGAATCCAAATGACTTAGATCTGCTTTCAATCCATACAGAGTAAGAAGTCACTGTTTGTAAACCTTGTCAATTCATTCATCCTGCTGATTTGCCACTTTTCTACATGTCTTTTGCTTTCCCTTTATACTTTTCTGTATCTCTGAGTCAAAAATGTTGATGAATATGGCTTGGTTTGATTTAATACACTAGGATTAAACAACTTTGCTTAAATTATTTTCTCCTGAAATACATTTTGTTATTGTAGCTTTCTAAAAATGGATTGAAGATAATCTGATCCCTTGGGAACCTATGTGCATCAGCTTAACTTATTTTATTATGGGAAGACATTAATAATAAAGATTTCAGGTGACTCCAACTTGGCTATAAAACCATGAATTCTGAGCTGTAATTCTGACTTTTAATATTTTATTTTTCTTATTAGCAGTTTCACCCCTCAAAGACTATACATAAACAACTCATAATTCTGCATATGACAATAAACTTCAATAGGGAACTATGTATGCATCAGAAATGTTTTTAACATTTCACATTTCGTGATGTTTTTTGCTTTTACCTATTATATTCTATACTTCACTAGGGTCTAAAATTTATCCAAATTATTAAAGCATTAATTAAAATAAACTAAGCATCTTGGGGTGCCTAGGTGGCTTGGTCGGTTAAGTGTCCAACTTCAGCTCAGGTCATGATCTTGTGGTTCATGAGTTCGAGCCCTGCATTGGACTCTGTGCTGATAGCCCAGAGCCTGGAGCCTGCCTTGGATTCTATGTTTCCCTCTCTGCCCTCCCCAGCTCGTGCTCTGTCTGTCTGTCTCTCTCTCTCTCTCAAAAATAAACATTAAAAAAATTTTTTAATTAAGCACCTTAATAAATGCACATGCATCCAGGAATAAAAGAAATACATTCATTTATACAGATTTGTCTTAAATGACTAAGCTTTAGATTCCATTCTGTACCAATCATTTAGCAAATCAATCAGTCAGGTATTTATTAAGGACAGGTCAACATGTCAGCATAGGGCCAAGTATTAGAGAGTCATAGGACAGGACCCCTATCTGCAGGGAATTATAGTCCAGTGAATTTAAGACAAAGTGCCTGAGTGAGCGGTAGAGAAAATGGAAAACGAGGAATTCACTGAGTGGTTTAGACCAGCAATTATTACCCTTTTCTGACCAGCTCCTTTTTTTAGGTGGCGCAAACAGGATCATTTTACTTTCATCATTTACCTTAACCATTCCCAAATTTCTGTGTAAAAGAACTAGATGAATATAGTAAAAAGTCAATATGAAAGTAATTTTGGCTCAGAGGGTGGTACAAATCCGTTTTTGCAGTGTAGTATGATAGAGAGGCACTCTTGAATCACATGCATACAAGCCTAATTACTGAAAAGCTGCAGTAAAAAATACTGCTGGGTGCAAATATTCATTACTAGTTGTTGTGTGGTTAATCAATAGTAAATCAAATTGCTAATGAAAGAACTAAAACAACAGTAATTTATCATTAGGAACAGAAAAAAACGGAAGCATTTGAAATCTACAACCACCACAAGACAGCTGATGATATAATGTTAGCAAAATGCTTATCTTGCCATTTGCAGGAATTTCAAATATCTGTATGTGCATGAGTAATAAGAATTTTATAATATGAGCCTAGGATACTATCTGGTACATCGTAGGCCCTTAACAAATAAATGAATAAGTAATTGAATGTTGCCTAGATTTGTGCGGACATCAGACTTCTTAGTGCTATAGTGATTTTAGTTTAGGGGCACCATATTTTGGTCAGCTTTAAAAACTCACTTAGTATATTAGTTGAACGTAAAAGTTTGTGAAATTTTGTGCAATTTCTCATAAGAATCACATAAAGAACTTAATGTTTAGATTAGTTTGAGGCCTATCTGAAGGCTCTTCCTTGCTCAAAAGGTGACCCCCACCCATTGCTTCAGAATCTTGATTAGTCACAAGAAGAGTTGTAGAATGAGAAAGTACTGTGGGCAAGTGTTATCATGGCCAAGAAGACATTATGGCATAGATGGAATTTGAGCTCAACTTATTTTAGTGAGAACACCAGGACTTTCAGGAAGAAGGAGGACAATATTACAGATGGGGCATATTCATTTAGTACTGGTGAATTTCTTCTTAACCAATTAGAATGGGTCGTAGAACAATAATACAGGCTTTTACCTGATGAATGGAATTGCATTTCCAGTGCTACGTGTCATAGGTTCTAGCACCTTGACTCGCCGAACAGTAGAACCTGGCACCTTGAGAATGAAAAATGATGTTCTGGCCTAAATCTTGCCAGAGTTAAATTTCAGTTAATTCCCTCACCGCCAAGCTAAGGCAAACAGCTTGGGACAATAAGGAAAGCACTCTGCCACTAAGTTCTTTTTCACTTTGGGCAAGGAAAATTTACCTATTGATCATTCTCAACTCTAAAATTATAGATAGGTCTACTCATCTGCTAGATAGAGCCCAATGTTCAGATTTGGTCTGTGTTGTGTCTCTGGCATTGATACTTTTAAAAAGCATTCCAGGGGACTGATGCCAACAGGCAGCCAGGATTGAGAAATACCACTGGGGTCTGTGTGTGTCAATTGCTTTGCAGTTCCAAACTTGTAAAATGTAAGTGAATCGCAAGCTACATCTGGTTCATTATTTCAAATAATGGTAAAATGTCACATATCGAGAAATTTAGAGCCGTCTCACACTTTGCCATGCATTCACTGTTACAGATTTAAATGTGGATCTCCAAATCAAAATTATGGAAGCTTGTATGGCCGTCAGCCCCCATCCTTTTCTAAATCAATATCCCTTCAGGAGAAAACAAACCTACCTTTTTATGATCCCCTTGCAAAAGAGAAATTACATAGTAGTATTTATATAAATATGGGTAAGCATGTGCTGTAATTTATTGTCATGGTTTCATTTTAAAATCCTTTTCCAAGGAAGTTGTGAATTTCCTATTGTAAACAAGGAGGAATTTCAAAAGAAACCATCAAACTGAGTGGAAGAGTGAGGTACTGAAAGGGAGCTTTTATCAATCAGCCAGACTGAATAAATCATTGGTAATAGAAGTAAGCAGAAAGGAAGCATTTGCCTTCATCGGGAGCAGTGAATGCCTTTTGATTTGTCTTTTAGGTTAGATTCTTTAAGTTGACCTCTCTACCCGTTCCAAGTTTGGGAAATGCCAGTCTGTTCTACCAGGAAGGCGTTATGGAAGGAATATCTGACGATAACATTCGTATTTATCAGATACTGGCAGGTATCTGGTGGGTAGCCAGGATGGTGAGGTATACGGAAATCAGGTCAGATGCAGAATAGTTAAGAAAGTGGAAATGTCCAGCCTAAAGAAGATGAGACTTAGCAGGTGTATAATCACTGTTTTCAACTTTCAGAAAAAGTTTCTTGTAGTAGAAAGCATACATTTTTGTTTCACTGCTCCAAATAATAGAATAAGAACAAGTAGGTGAAAATTGAAGGAAGTTAGATATCAGATGAATAATTAGGAAGAAGCTTCTAACACCCCTACACGTCCGAATGTGAAATGGGCTGCCTCAAACCTAATAAGTAGGCCATCTGGTGGGTCTCAAGAAAAGACTGGGGGAGCACAGACTATGGACGTTCTACAAAAGGGTCCTGGATTTAGAAGAGACTTTATAATAAATTACCTTCCATCTAAAAGCTTTTATGTTTCCAAGAATTCTTGAGCAGAAGTTTTCCATATACGGAAATAAAATCTCCATTTAAGCATTGCACTTGTCTTGAAATTATGTGTCCATTTTTTGAACACCCCAACTTTAATGGAACCCATCTCAGCCACTTGAAGTTTTTTCTTTCTTGTTTTATATACTTACGTATTTCCCCCCCTCTCCAGTTTTTGCTTCCTTTATGCCAGGTTGTAGACCTATTCACCTGTATTATAGCCCAGGTTAATTGGCAACAGGTATACCCACCTGCACTGTGTTGATAACTGGCTATTGTCATAATTAGGCTAGTACTTGTTAAGTAGTTTATGTTCTTACGACGCTGGGTTAAATATTTTATATATCGCCCCTGAACACAGCCATGTATTTATTGAGAGGTGGAGACATCATGACTTCAAAAACATATTCTATATAAAATGAATAAGATTTTTGGAAAAATTTTACATGTTTTCCTCCATACATCAACAAAATGTACTTTAGTTTCTCAGCTGCCATTTTGTAAGTGAATTTTTTTTTTTTTTTTTTTTTTTTTTTTTTTTTTTTTTTTTTTTTTTTTTTTTTTTTTTTTTTTTTTTTTTTTTAATGAAGGCACTTATAAGCTGTATTTCTTTTGTTTGCCAGGAGGGGCACATGACGATAGAAATAAATCTCGTCCAGTTGTAATAACGTGTGTTCGTCCCGGAGGACCTGCTGACAGGTAAACTTCCTCTGTCTGTGTCACTATCCAAACAGATTCAACAAAGGTGGGGACTTTGGCATAGAGTTGAGGAATTAGAAATTTCATAGTGAAAGATAGATATTAAGCAAACGTGTTGGAATGTGAATACTGAAATTGTTGGGCTGCCAAATCAGAAGAAAGAAGGTTTGACTCCAGGCTCAACACTCACTACCCTATGTGTTTGGCAAGTGACTTACCAGTTCTAAGCTCAGTTTCCTCCACTGTGAAATGTCGATAATAATACCTACCTGACAAGGTCTTCAGTTTTATAAGAGACTGGGTGGGGCCTTGCAGGGGACCTTTCATGCAGTAGATACTTAATAAAAGGTAGCTGGCTTTTTAAAGGCACGTACTTTAAACACATCGTCTCCCATTGCTAACCTCCTACCCTGGAAAGATAGGTGGTGATGTTCTGACTGTTACTATTAATCAACATCCTTCTGGTTATTATTATCTGTTGATGATGATTATGTATGTGAGAATGGAAGTGATTTCAATAAAAGGGAAGGAGCATTGTCAGTATCTAGAGCTATCTCTTCGGGACTTATTTGAGTATCTGAAGAGGCAGCTCCTTCATCTCTCATATCACAAATATTAGAGGAGGTCGTATGTAAACGCACAACTTAGCTGTCTCAGGAGATGCTGGTCTTTGTATTAATTTCCCATCGCAAACGTCCATTCCATAAAGGCAAGGGACCACAACTCCGGCCATTCGCTGTGGTTGAAGGGTGGGAGAATAATGCCCTGGTTACCCCTGACTCTGCACTATGTTTCAAACCGGGATATAATGTTTAAACCTTTTCTTATGCAACAGAAATAGTAAAAATAAATACAATTGATTGAGCACCGAGCCATGTGCTAGGAAATGTACTATGTGTTTAGCAGACACTATTTTATTTGTCCTCACAACTGCCTACTAAGTACTTTTTAGCCACACTTACAGTGATAAAACTGAGGCCCCGTGTGGGTACATGACTTACCAGCTAGTACACGGAAGAGCCAGGCTAGGAATTCAGGTTCATTCTCCTTCAAAATCCATGCTGTTAGCTCACTTTTCTAAAAAGTTTGTGTTTAATATAAAATAAGAGAATATGAAGTTACTGGTTTCTCACCTGTGCCATAGTATGTTTGCCTTTGCAGAGGACAATACAAAGTCAGAATTTGCACAGAAATCTTGCCTTTTTTTCCTCTCTCCTGCTTCTCTTGTGAATTATTCTTCCTGCAGTAAATGAGAATATTTCCGTTCCTTATTAACATTTACCTTGGGGTTAACAAAAATGTCAGAAGCAAGCTACCAGTTTCTGAGCAACATATTATCAAATTAACTTAGGATGAAATGGAATCTAAAAGTTTAAGATAAAAATTTAGAGTCAAAATTCTTAGAGAATTATCTAGGCGAAGGATATTTAAGAGATCACTCTTATCCTTTCCAAATCCTGAATTTGTAATCCTCCCACCCCAGTTTGACTTCTCATATCATGACCCTCCCTGAGGCAGGAGGGTTATAATCTGGAAGCCTCCTGGCTATATTTTAGTGGTGTCTCCAATGTCCTCAGGCATCTTCTTCCAGTGCCTTGAGTGTCTATGGTCACAGCAGAAAGAATAGTATTTCCCTGTCTCTTCCAAGGAATATGAGACTGAATCGATTTAATGATTGCCTAAATGGCCTTATAAATCAATAGGGAAATGTCTAGACTAGGGAAATTTTTCACCAGTGCTCCCAGTCCTGCTTGGGTTCACTGATAATAAATGGAATGGAATCAGCAGGCTTTTCTGCTCACCTGGCTTTGGAAAAAAATAGGTAAATGCTATTTTCTGGGCCCTAATAAATCAATTTTAGGTATTTAGACAAGAACCTAGAAAAGGGAAAATGTGCCTTTAGTATTTTTGCACCCCAAGAATTAACTGGGGGTAAACTTGGTGATCGACTATTGGGCAGTTATTTCCTTATTACTGACTTGCATATTGCAGCAATTTTCTGTTCAGAGCCACCTCTTTAGTCCCTTACTATCACACTTGATGCTTAAGACGAAGCGCAAATAGGATGGATGGGGAAGGTGTGAAATACCCGCTTTGGCTGAGCGACTCTTTTTTTTTTGTTTTTGTTTTACTTTTTTTTTTTTTT